GTAGTGTAGTTTCTCCCGTGTTATTAATTAATTTTCTTACGCTGGTAATTTGTCCATGATTAAATCTATTTTTTATGTTAAAAATCGTAAACATGTCAAGCTGCATTTTAAAGATATATTTATTTAAATCATGGTATTTGCATCCTAAAATGAATCATACATCTTTCACATTTCAGATGTTTTGGAGTTGAACTTTGAATGTGTGCAATCGTTGTCTATGGATAGTCACTATAATCTGTTTTGTAAGAACTAATAATATACTATGTAATTGTGTAAAAATGTGATGGAATGTTTGTTTAAAAATAATATTAAAATTAGGCGCTTTTACAGTTTCGGAAATTCTAAATAACCAATCTTGAATTTTGCGATAAAATGTCGTGAGCTGGCAATGGACCTTTCCGCTAAGCTCCGCCCCTTGGATATTGTTGCTAAGGTCCCATAAGACGGCAGTGTTAAAACATACGCGAACACGTGCGTTTGTGGGACAACACGTGTGTTTGTAAGACGCGCGTGCATTTCTAGCGCTGTTCTAATTGGTCAGTTGTTAAGTTTGATTGACACTCCGGAAAGGTCTATTATGCTTGCTGAACTTGATGAAGGGTACTGCTGTCTGACGGTCCGGTTCCGTAAAAAAGATTAGGCGTACCATGGAGAAAATATATATTTAATATATTTTCTCCATGGGATTACACAATATCCCTGCACACACTCTCTACAAACGACAACAGTCCCAAAACAAAAGACAATAGAAATGTAGTATTAATTAATGATCTGGGATTTAGTGAAATTTATTACTATCCGTCCCAATCTTAAAATAATATGTACACAGTAAAGTAGTAAAAATATATAAAATTCAGGCCTAGGCATATATGAAAGAAAAATATACAAGAAATATTATATTAGTTGATCGGTGACAACAGCTGTCAATTAGGCCTATTCTCAAGTAGTAATACTTTCTGGTTATACTTTGACAGCTTGTGTAGAGTCTGGTGTTTGGTAACCGGTGATTGTCGCCGAGTGATGGGTGTTGAGGATCCGCAGGTTGGTGATTCTTCAAAGCAGGGAGGAGCTAAGAAATCGTAGCTAAATACTTCTTCGTAGTCCATGCTCTGATCAAGATCATTCTCCGTTGTACACGATGATGCGGCCCCTTCCGAAAGAAGTGATACACCTGAAAAAAAAAAGAGATACAATACATGGTCAACTGAATGAAGAGATATGAATTGTCAATTTTACCAAAATCCCGTAGGATATGAAGTTTTAGAGCTCCATACCACGATACAACTAAACTACAATTATTAATAAAGTTTTATCAGGCTCAGATGCTGAGCATGGTATACGGATTAGAGGTGCACACTCTCCAGGCGCCTATATTGTAGTTTAGAATTTTAGATGACAAAAACGTTGGCAGGTATATACCCAATATCAATAAACAAAAATATTTTAACACCATTTTTAATAATGTTATAGGTTTGACAGTGTTTACATATTTCAAAATAACTACTGAATTAAAACCACAATATATACTTACAGATTCGGCCCATTCCAAACTCAGCTAACAGTTCATCATCACCACTGATGTCTCCACACATCACAGAGTCGTCATCATCGAAGATGCCGCTGAACGTAGTAACACCAAAGCTGACATCACCAGAATGATGCCAATCTGACTCATCCTCCGACCATTTCGTGGACTCACTTGATGAACATGGAAACCGGATTCTGAGGTCTGCATCCATTTCTGTTCGGAGAAGGTCTTCTCTTGATAGATACGGCAGTTCGTTTCCTCCTTCTTCGATGTGATCTCGAAATGTTGTAGAATACAGCTCATACCACTGGAGTCTTCTGCACCAATCCTTAGCAACCATTCTGTCAGTCAGCAAGTATGGAATGTAACGTATAATTAATAACAGTGGATAAGACCTCGAAGTACAGTACGAATGGCAGACACGTCAGAGAACAAATTGTAGTAACTCAGCTGAGATCACTTAATTTTATTCTGAAGATACGGCAAGTCCACGGTCACGTGACGTTATTGACCGACCAATCAAAAAAGTTGTATTCAATACTTGACAGGAAAGCCTTCACATGTGCCGTGATACCAGGCATCTTCGGTCACGTTTAATTGATGTTCCTTCATGTTGAATAGCGATCTTAAAACAATACTCAGTGTTCTTATTTTTTGGTCGACTTGAGGTGCAAACCCTTCTTATTTTGTTCTTATTTTACACACTTTTCAAAGATAGAAAATTATTGTACAGCAGAACTGCAGGCCTAACTGTATTATATAGAGAGCATTACATAGTCACACCTACTCACATGGTACAGATAAGATTGTTGGGTTTTCTTTTCTTTTTTAGAATAAGTAAAACAAAAACTCTTTTGGTATTTTACCTCAGCCTCAATCTATTTTTATTTATTTATTATTTTTTAATGCAATTTCAGCCTCAGTGTTCTTATAAAATGTGTTCTTATTTTAAAAAAAAAAATAGCTATTGACTGATTTATTGAAGGGAATACATACATTCAAATTTCTTTTACCGTAGCATACGGTTCTAGAGTTACTGTGGGTCATAATTATTAATTATAATATTTAAAAATATATTTTATTAATTGTAGTTAGGATTTTATATCTGCACAGTATTTCAATTTGCTTGAAAGAGGGCCTCTTTAAGTGAAAATTGCTGTTAAAGCCACCCTCTTAAAAAATATTGTCGAATACATAAATAATACCGTATGTTTTATGTGTAGGCATGTATGTATGTTATGTAGGCCTATGTATGTATGCGAGTACAGTCATATTTACGTGGGTGTGTGGTTCTGTATGGACATGTATACTGATCTATATTGTATTTTATGTTTGTTTATTTTAACTGCAATGCTTTTGCCTTAAGTTTTTAGTTTAAGATCACATTTAAGTTCATTTTATGTTTACTTTTTATTTAACTATACTTTTTATTTTTATTTATTTATTTTTATTTCAACAATCTTTAATGAGGGTGGTACATCCAGCCGAATCTAATCATTAGGGACCCTCAATACACATAGTAAAACAAAACAAAAGAAAGAATGAAACCAATTAATTTACAGTAACATAAATAACAACCTTTCAATTCTAAATTTACATAATGAATTAATTCACAATTATATAAAAAAACTTAAATTGCAATTAAAGATGTAAATGAATTGAGCATGATTAAAAAATAATTATGTTCTTTTTTAAAATTTGAACTTATTTTAGTTTAAGTATCTTGTTAAACTTTGCTGTATTGTTTTGGATTATGTAGTCATGAGCAAATTGTACTTTATTGGTTCCAGTAAAATAAACCTCTTTTGAGATAAGGTGTAGTAACAAATTCCAGCTTGGCTTTTTGCTCTATTATGCATGATTACTAATATATACAGAGCGTCATAGTATTTTTTTTTTTATTAATGATCGTACCAGCCCATGAAATGTGACGATTTTAATATATTATACAATAGCTG